TTTCCAAAATTTTGAACTATTTTGTCATACATGCAAACTTTTTTATAGCAACTCTATGTTTTTCCCAATTCCACTTTTTATTTTTTCAAATGATTTATATGTACAGATTATATGTTAATGTTTTGTACTAAAACGGTTGTTAAATAGCACTGTTTTCGGATTGTAGTCAGCAAAGTATTCTCGGTTCATTGGTTGTTACGTCAAGTCTTCAGCTGTCGCACCTGAGTTCGAATCCCAGGTTGCTGGGCCGGCCCGCTAGACGTGGTGCGTGGGCGCCAGCAGCGGTTAGCGGCACTAACGTTTGAGTGGGTTATTTAAAAGACTAGTTTTTTTAATATAGTACAGACGCAATCGCTAATATACATGTGTATATACTCACCCTTATAAACGGACACATGCACACCCTATAGGTGGAGTCTTTCGATCCGAGCACTGACGAGGCAGCCCTATAGGTGGAGCGGGTACTGGGTTTCCCTTGTAGATGCTCTAATCACGATAATGGGGGGTGAGGGTTTTCTCTTCTCGCGATCGATGTGTTTGGCCGTTCGATGAAAGTTCTGTCGTTCACCAGTTGAAAAATAAAAATATAGATAATATGAAAATTTAAAATAGTTGGTGAACAGACGTAAAAAACGGGATAGAGTAGTACCAGATCTCCAATTTAAAATAGTTATTCACAGCGACAAGCAAGACACTGAGTGGAACTGAAACTGATCATTCAGATGAAACCGGAGACACACAAATACGTACAAGAACACTGCATGCATGGATGCATACAAAAGATACTCCCTCTGTCCGGAAATACTTGTCGGAAAAATGGATGTATCTAGACGTATTCTAGTTATAGATACATTCAATTTTATCCATCTCTCCGACAAGTATTTAAGGACGGAGGGAGTACTACGTACCACTCAATGAGGGAGCACAAGATGAAGTTGATACGGCATCATACATGGGAAAGTTAGTAATGACGTGCACAAAAATTCAGTTGCCATGCTTGGGCATTCTTTCCACACTCTCATTCAAACTCCTCCATCGCCACATCCATTGCCTCCAGAACATCCTTTACAGTCCCCACCGGCAGCGGCTGTAAACTCGAACCGTCGATGCCCGAGCAGCATGGATGCCGAGAAGGTCTTCAACGCGTCTGCGCAAGAACGCCACGTCCATTCCTAAACCCTCCAATGACCCCAGCGTCTTCTTCCACACCAGGAGAACCTCGCGAGAAGAAGTAGCAGCAGCAGCATGCAAGGGGGCCATGACGCACTCGGCGATGTGACTGGTCTCCATGATCACCCTTCAACCAGAATATGGTTTGTCTCGAGCAGGTTCCTGTGGAGGACCGCCTTCTGGGCGCATGCCGTCCGGGAGGTCGATGATCGAGCCATGGAGGATGACTTGGAAGTTCTCCACATCGCCGAGACCTGGATCTGGAGATCTCACATCGTGTTCGTCGATGCCTACCGCTTCTTCCCTCGCAAATAAGGTTGTTGCCATCATGCTGGATGTTGAGCTGCTGTCTCCAGCGGTAACCTCTAGATGATCTTTAGAATTGACACCATGTTCTGAACCTTCTGCCTCGTCTGCAACACATGATACAGAAGATTCAGATTTGATATGCTATTTCAGTGTACAATTAATAAATGACGAACAAGCGCAAGAATACGAACAAGATGGGACTTTTGACTCACTCCACATGTTATTCTTCTTGGATGTGTCCAAACCGGGCGGTCCATTTCTTAGTATATGCACCTAAAAACAATATATCCATCCCAGAAATTAGACCGCTAAAGTAAGGTAGTGATCCTACCGTGCATTTGGAAGATAAAAATACCACAAAGGAATGATGGAGAAATCGATGAAACATCCGGGAAGGACTTGCCTTGAATTTTTTGGTTCCGTCAAGTTGAAAGACCACATCGTCGCCGACCCTAATACTATGCTTACGCGCAAATTCTCCCCACCCACCGCTCAGCGCCTTCCTGTCGTGTAGGTAATTTGTAACATAGCTCTCCCCATGCTCATCTTCTAATGTGATTGTACTATTCTCCTTCGGAAGATGCGCTGTGCAAAAGCTACCCGGGAGACCCTACAAGAGGAGAACAAAAGGCAGTATTTTACACTTTGCTTTTAGTTTACCCTACAAGAGGAGAATAAGTTGCTTGTAAGCAAATATACATACATCCATTCATTCAGACACCTAAAGAACATAGACTTACCAGATAAAAGCCTTGAACTACATGAGATTTTAACATACGCTTGGTGAAGCTGTGATGTTCTCCTGGCAATTTGAACCTTTGTCTCTGTATTACTTGTCAAATCCGAGTGCTGAATGTCATCAACAATAGCCGGTTTCCGTGCTATTTTCTGCTCCATCTTTCTCTTAGCAGGTTTGGAACCCGCTGGCCCGCCTCTCTTCGTCTGTAACACAACCGAAGCACATTTTTCATAATTAGTCTTCGTAGGAAAAACTATCTTATTTATAGTTAGCCTATTCCACCAACGTAAGAAACTTCTCTTTGATGAAGCTGGGATATTCCGCTGGAAATTTCACCTTTGTCTCTGTATTACTTGTCAAATCCGAGTTATGAATGTCGTCAACCAATGCCGGTTTCCGTGCCATTTTCTGCTCCATCTTTCTCTTAGCAGGTTTGGAACCCGCTGGCCTGCCTCTCTTCCTCTGTAACACAACCGAAGCACATTTTTCATAATTAGTCCTTGTTGGAAAAACTATTTTATTTATAGTTAGTCTGTTCCTCCAATCATAAGAAGCTTGACTAAGCAATAAACAATACCGAGTGTGACATATACACCGATCTTCTTACAGCTAGCCTTACACTTAATATGTTATCATAGTTTCCGTTTTTCAGTGAAACAGAGCATGCTTATGGACATGTGATTGTTTAAACTTTTTAGTCGCAAAAATGATTGATGAAGCAATATGGAATCATTTTTGCAGGACCTTACCGTCGGAAAAGTATCATCCTTGTCACTCTTGGCAACCTTGAAACATGCCGGGAATCCTTTCTTTTTCTGCAACACAACCAATGAACACAGAGTAGTAGCTAACTTAATATTTGTATATTAATGTGAGTAGAGGTAACAACTCGTCTGAGTTGTGAGATTTTTGGAACAGTTGAAATCTGTAAAGCAAAATGAAGATAACAAATTATCTTACTTTGAAAGTTGTAGTTTTCCGAGCCGTTGGTTTATAACGAACATCAGGGCGATTTTTTCCTTGAATCTCCGTGCCCTCTGGCCTAACGATCTTCCATAATTAAGTAGGTTAGATCAAGAAGTTGCATGCTTATACTACTTTATGAAATCATGACCAATATGAGGAGAATAACGAGGAGCTATTGCAACAATGTGAAGATACATTATCTTTTCATAGGTGGTAATATATGCACAGCATGGAACCAACTGTATATGCTCTGTTTGATGTAGGAAAGTAAAGAGGTTGGGCACTTACTCTGAGAGGAACATAATCGACCTTGTTCTCTACATCATGGGAATCATTAACTGCGGCGGAGTTTTGATTAACAACAATAGGCAGCTGCTCATCCTGCGATCACCATGGGCTGAGTATTAATTTGTAGAAGAAGTGAATAGTCTAGTGGCTAAAATGCAGAGATATGAGATGTGATGGTTAATAACTCACCATGGGCTGAAAGCCACCATCAGCTGTAGTGGCGCTGCCGTTGTCAAGCGAAGAGAGTATGGGGATATCATCAACAGACTGCGAGGGGTAGTACGTCCACAGGCAGAGAAATCATCATTAGTTATGCAAGTAACACTCAACATGAGAAGATATTCAACAAGCATCTGGGGAAAGCAAAAAACAAAATCATTTTTTCTCTCCTTTTTGTGCATGCAGGATCAAAGGGTCGAGACTAATGAAGGACCAGATGAAGCAGATGAGATTAAGCAGTGAAATCAAATGAAGGCGTGGGTGGTACTTACGTCGATGCGATCCGAGGTGCATGGATCCGAGGTAGCTGCTGGTTGGAGGTCCTTCCACGGGAGTAGAATCACCATGTTGTCCATGGCTGGATCCTTCATGGTTGGAGATCCTTCCATGGGAGCTGGCTAGCTGGCTGGATGCCTGGATCCGATCGAGGTGTTGAGTTGCAAGCAACGCAAAAACGGGAGGAGGAGGAGAAGGAAAATGAGTTAGGGACCGTTGGGCTTGGACGTAGATATAGACGGCATTTTAATTTTAAACTAGACTAGAAAAAATCGAGACGTTGGGAGCTGAAAATCAGAGGATTTAAAAAAAAAATGAAACTCCATGGGCACTAGCACCCACGGTTTTATTGATATAGAAGAAGCATCCCAAAATCAGAGGATTTGTTTCCACGCAAATCGGATCGTTTGTTATATTTGGGAGGAACACACAATTAATTTGGTCCGAAATTAGAGGACCTTTCCTTCCTTCCTCGGCTGCTGGTTTGCATCTATACCTACAGAGGTGCTGGTGCGAATCAGATCTTTCAAGGAGTCAGCAAAGCCACCTCGCCGTTCAAGGAGTCCAGAACACATGTCTGCAGCAGCAATTTGATCGTGTAGAATAAAGGACTAGTACCGCGAGTTTCGGTATCGACTAGGTATGTGTCCGTGCGTTGCTATGGGAGCCAAATCTTGTAATTATGGTGATTGCGATTTTTTTGAGGCGATTTTTTTGGTAATCTTACAATTATGATGATTGCAATTTTTTAAAGAAAAGGTGTAACGCCCATTGGGTCATGTAATTATGGTGATTGACTCGAATCGTCACTTGCCAACCGGGGAAAAAAGATGGGGTAGATGAACAAAGGTGGGCAGAACACGGTCCATCGGCAGGAAAAGGAATCTTAGGTTCTTTTTAGATTGTAGAGAAGATAGAGATTACCAAACATTGGGCTCCAGGCCGGGTTGATTGAAAAACAGAATGAAGCCCACGAATGCTCATGCGTCATTCACTATTTAGAATTTTTTAAAAAAATTCCATATTATATTTCATGATTTTACTGATGCAGATATTACTGATTTGTAACACGTTGCTGGTCAGTAGAGCGCCACGACTACTTCACTCGCTCCCACACACACACTGTGAATTTGTAAATGGATCCATATATATGCATACACTGCACGAGAGCTTGCTCCAACAATCCATGGCCTCCGACCATGAGCGCCTCCGCGCGCTCAAGGCCTTCGACGGCACCAAGGCCGGCGTCAAGGGCCTCGTCGACGCGGGCGTCACCACCATCCCCGCCATCTTCCACCACCCGCCCGAGTCCCTAGCCGACGCGCCCCATCATCACCGTGGTCACCACCAGTTCGCCATCCCGGTCATCGACCTCGCCGGCCTCGGGACGCCGTCGGAGCGAGCCTCGGTGGTCGGCGCGATGAAGGCGGCCGCGGCGACCGTCGGCTTCTTCCAGGTGACGAACCACGGCGTGCCGGAGTCGGCCATGTCCAAGGTCCTCGCGGCGGTGCGGCGCTTCAACGAGGAGCCGGCGGAGGCCAAGGCGCCGTACTACAGCCGGGACCCGAAGCGGCGCGCTAGGTACCAGTGCAACTTCGACCTCTTCCGGTCGCCGGCGGCGAGCTGGCGCGACACGCTCTACATGGAGATGGCCCCGGAGCCGCCGCCGCCGGAGCAGATCCCGCCGGCGTGCCGGACCATCGCGCCGGAGTACACGCGGCTGGTCCAGCGGCTGGGGCGCATCCTCTTCGGGCTGCTGTCGGAGGCGCTGGGGTTGAGCCGAAGCTACCTGGAGGAGGAGGCCGGGTGCCTGGAGGGGCTGAGCGTGGGCTGCCACTACTACCCGGCGTGCCCAGAGCCGCGCCGGACGCTGGGCACCGCGAGGCACTCCGACCCCAGCTTCCTCACCGTGCTCCTCCAGGACGCCGTCGGCGGCCTCCAGGTGCTCGTCGAGGATGAGAAACGGCGACCGGCGTGGGTGGACGTGCCGGCGGAGGCGGGGGCGCTGGTGGTGAACGTCGGCGACTACCTGCAGATCCTGTCCAACGACCGGTTCAGGAGCGTGGAGCACCGCGTGGTGGCCAGCAGTGCCGGGCCCCGGGTCTCCGTGGCATGCTTCTTCCGTGCCGACGCGTCGACGAGGGTGCTCGCGCCCATCGTCGCCGGCGGTGATGGCGACGGCCGCGCGCGGTACCGGAGCACGACTGTGCCGGAGATGCTCCGGCACTACGGCACCAAGGGCCTGGGCGGCGTGTCTGCGCTCCAGCGCGTCAGGATCTGAATGGATCTCATCTCAAACAATTCAGGATCTGAATGTATCTCATCCAATCTGAATGTATCTAAGTCAATGCTGATGTTCAGATCTTTGAAAAAAACATTTCTTGTGTTCATGATTCAGATTCGTGTTTGGATCTGAACTCATGATTCAAAAATTCATCCTAGCAATGCAAGATGCAATCTCTGTTGTACTTTTTTGAAGGGTGGAAATTTGAATTCAGCTGGACATGCAGAGGAGATTTAAATTCAGCTGGACATACAGTAGTAACATGAACTGAAAATGAATTAACAGAACAGAAGAGACATCCCCTAGAATGGAAACATGAACTGCAAATGGAACCAACACAAACAAATGGCAAGTTATTCACAGGGATGACGACGATGACGACAACAACAACAACGACGCGACACGAGAGCTAGGGGAACTGAAACTGAGTTGAGATGGCTGATGACTTTCTTCAGCATCTGCCATGGCGGCATTCGGTGAGCGCCGCAGCTATGTACAGACAGACTGACAGAGATACATGAAATGATCATCCTGCATTACTGAGTTACTGACTGAGCTAACCATCCATCCATCCACCAGTCAAGGGTCTGCGTGACCCATGATGGCCTCGTCGCCGGAGTCGTAGCCCTCGGCGTCGCTCAGCTCCTCGTCGCTCTCCTCCTCCTCCTCCTCCTCCTCCTCCGGGGATATGTCTTCAGGCTTGGCATATCTCTCACAATATTCTGAACAGAGATTTTTTAGCTTATGTTAAGGAAATACTACTGTATAATGCACTCTATGACAGAGATATGGAATACAGAAGTTCTGGTACAAATCAGACCTTTGACTTTATTTTCATAGGCATTCTTGTCGCGCATCATGAGCGAAGCCGCCTCGCCGTTCAAGGGGTCCGAGGGGTTCGGGTAGAGGAGAAGCTGGGGCAGGAACACCTCAAAGATATTCACAAGGTCTGCCACAACAGCAGGACAAGAGCAGAAATGTGGTGCTTCAGTTAGTAAAAAATCATCAAAGTCGATACTAGTAAACTAGTTTTTTCATATATCAGTTGATTTTACCGAACATTGGGCTCCAGGTCTGGTTGATCACATCCAAGCAGACCGAACCGGACCTGAACAAATCGACCGACAAACAAACGATGAAACCTGAGAGTTTGTGCAGAGCAGAGAATGGTTGGTTTGTGAAATGAAGGAGAAAGAAAGGCTTACATCTCATCAACATTTGGGTGATAGATCTTGTTGGTGAAGCCAATGGAAGGGGATTTGTAGGGGTAAGCTTCTGTGAGCTCAACCCTCACCTTCCACACACCACCCTGGTAAATACCTGCAGCAAGGAAAACAGAGGAACCCTTGTAATTAATTAGATACCAAATGAATTTAAGTGCTAGAGAGCAGATTGAAGGATCAAATTTGTTTGAAATTACTGTGTAATCTGTATGTGCAGAGTTTATTTGCTACTACTTAGTGTTGCTGGCTGATTTTGCGACCCTTATTTTGGGACGGAGGGAGCAGTAGAGTGTATGGCAATGCAGCATCATTCGCTTCCACTGGTACTGAGACAGTGGGGAAGAGAAAACTTGACAGCTGAACAGACAAGCACTAGTAGTAGTACAATGTGTAGTACTCCCTCCTTCCAGGTGTATTGGGCATCTTAGCGATTTTAGAATTTCCAAATGAGTAAGACGCGAAGGAATTAAATCAGCCTCGTATCACTCCCGTGCCTCGTTCGCTTGACCCTCATCCACAAGTTTTCAATCTTAGGCTGCTCGCAAAGAAGATGATGTGTCAAGTAATTAATGAGGTGAGAGGCAAATAGAGTAACATAATATGGTTACCATCACATAACGCTTTCCAATGCAAAATGAGTCTACAAAACAATAAATGAAGATCTATATGTTATCACACTTATGTTACTACCCACTATGAAAGTAGTAACATAGACTAGTAACATGTGCATGTTACTACTCTAAGTTACTCCCCACTATGACTAGCCTTTATGGGCAATAACTCTGGTTGCATGTGTTTCGTGCTGCATGTTGATTGGTAAGGCGAAGGAATTGCAATCAATTAGCTCACCTTACAAGATTTTTAATGCTAACTATATCTAATAATACGGCCAATCCAATCACACCTAGATCATGGTGCAGCAACTTAGGCGCCCAATACACCTGAACGGAGGGAGTACTAAACTTGCAAGAATAAATGAGTGAAAGCATGAGTGACAGGCAAAGGGCATCCTTTATTTTTGGGGGGGTATTGGTCAAATCTGTCTATTTTTCCCGGGCAACTTGTTGGTTGGGCTTGGGCAGAGCAGAGGCCATTGTGGGGATGTGGATGAAGCACCTACCGTACCCGTATATCATATCATATAATAATAAGTCCTCACATGCTCATCTAGTCAGAGGTCATATGGATATGGATGAATGGGGTACAATACAATCCAGTTTATTATGTTGACAGAAACAAGCAGGTGAAGCAAGAAAGCCATTTCCCATCCATGAGAATGGCATGGATAAGCTGATTTTTTTTTCTTCAAATAAAAGTGGATTTTTTTTCCTTTTTGTTTCTTATAAAAAGGAAAAGATGAGATAATCAGCTAGATGTGGAAGGCCATCCATCTCTCTACACGTTTCGGTTCTGAATCCTTTCCAAACCGTTTGGGTGAAAGCAGAGGTGTGTATGCCTATGGTCTATGGGTGAAGATCCCAGAAAAGAGAAGCTACTTCTTTTTGTTTGTTTGTTTGTTTGTTCCGAAATAAGGGGGACAGCTGAGTTCATCCTCCATTGTAGTTGTAGGTTAACAAACAGGCAGATTTCATTTGGGAACAAAGATGAGGGGAAATCAATCAATCAAGCAAAGAAAGAAAGAAAGAAACAGATATCATCACGCACCTAATCAATCAATCAATCGATGGATCAATCAAAGAAATTAAGCAGGAGGAGACAGATGGAGAGAGGGAGGAGGGGAGAGAGACGAACTGTCTTTGGGCCCGTGGAAGTGGACGAAGAACTCGTGCATCCCGTCGTTGATCATGTCCACCTTGTAATCGCTCATCATCCTGACCACTCAATAGAAGCAAGCTAGCTATTAAACATGAATCAAACAATCCTCACAAAAGCATCAGATACAAAGAATGAAGTAGGTGAGACTAGAGACAGCTTCATCAGATCCATCTCCCTGCGCTTGCTTGGGGAAGACATCCCGGTCGATGGATCGATGGATGGATGCTTGCTCACTTCTTCTTCCTCCTCCTTGCTCTGCTTCCCTTGCCTCCTGTTTGTTTGCAGAGAAAGAGAGAGAGAGAGAGAGAGAAAGAGGGAGAGAGGGGACAGGTTGTGTGATATGGGAGCAAGCACAGGGCTATAATATTCCAGAAAAGAGGAGTGGTGGCACAGGGGAGGGCCAATCTTATCTTGCCCACATCAATAAATGCTACTCCATCTTGTTTCAAAATAAAAATAAAAATATATACTACTCCTTCTTGTTTTTTCACAAATACTCCCTCCGTCTCAAAATTGGTGTCTTACATTTATCTAAATATGGATGTATCTAGTTATGTTTTAGTGTCATAGATACACCCGTATCTAGACAAATCTAAAATAAGAATTTTAAGACGGATAGAGTACTACTTGTAAAAAAATAAATATAAATAGCTTATCTAAAACTAAAATACGTCTAGATACATCACTCCCTCCGTCCGGAAAACCTTGTCAGATGAAAAAAAATGATGTATCCAGTATTAAACTACGTCTAGATGCATCGTTTTTTGGATGAAGGAAGAATTATATACAATACATTGTACTAGTAGTTTAAGAGTACGTACACTCGATCGTCTGCAAGAAAATAAACAAAATGGTTAGTTTGCGTTTCGTCCACACCACACCACGGAGACAGAGCAATCATAACGCACTTCTTTTTCAATTTTATAAGTTTTAACTTTTATCTTGTTGAATTGAAATAAACTAGTACTGGTACTAGTAGAGGATGGATAGATGAGTCTCGTGACGGGGACTACTTGTTGTGCACTGGAGTATCTTTTTCTGGACATGGAAATCAGAATCAGCCGATGCAGACGGATGGCTCTAGCGTCTTGCTTTTGCTAAATGGCCCCTCATGAAACTTAATTCATCCACCGACCTTTCCAAAAACTTATTTCGTCATCTGGCCCCTCGCATTTACGTCGTCATGTGGCTAAATTACACGTGAGGCCGCCGTCACCCAAGACGTGTCTGACCGGCCTGATCCACGGTCGTCGGTCACCTCCCTCTCCCGCCTGATGGAAGGATGCGATACTACCTACAACCCCTGCTTTTAGATGGTCGGCCATCCCGAGAGTCTTCAGCATGTCTCGTTTTCTGTTGGACGAGATGATTTAAGCCTCTCAAACGCCCTATAAATAATAGGCGTCATCAGTTTGGCGTTTATAAGTTGCATATATGATGGCACTATATAGAACCAGGCCATTAGACGTTTTAGCTTGTAAGTCCACACGCCCTCTGGTTTGGCGTGGTAAGGCCTTGTGTCAACCGCCTAGCCATTCAATGTGATCGTTATATATTATTATTTTTTTGATTCGTTTATCGCGTGGGTGTGTTCTTCTCACACTTTACATGTGGGTGTCTTGATTACACATGCGTAATACCCGTGTTTTGTGACATAAAAATATTAGGTTGTCTCATTTGGAGTAGGCACGGGAAATTGTGTATTTTTCACCACTTACTCCTCATCCCCCCCCCCCCAAACACCTTGTCCCTTCCCTCCCGTTACTTTCCAAATCCATAGTGGTAGTGACTATATACCCACCTCGTCGGCGTGTTCCACCAGTCGTGTCATGGCCGACTGCCGCCGTGAACAACCCCTTGGAGCCTTGTCCCCACCCCTTTCACAGAGCCCGCAATCCTTTCC